GTTTATTTAATCTCATTTAATAATAACCGTTAGATGAGAAAATRHACGATTAAGATGGGTTAGCATAGTTTGCACAAAATATTGGGTTAGTATTTGAACCAGCCCCTATATAGATATATATATATATATCAGAAGAGTACTCGCGTAATAAAACAAGACATATCTCGATTTTAATATTTTATTTTATTATTTGTCTCTGTCGATATTATAATACGATTTTATATGTTTTTAATAAAACAATAATGATTTTGTTTTTTGAATAAAATATAAATTTGAAGATATTATAAAAATTTATAAAAAATATCAATGTTAATATATCAAATCAACTATTTAAAACATCTCATTTTTATGTAATTTATTTAATTTATTTTTTATTATAATTTAATTTAAGTTTAATAACGAAATAATTTATTTTTAATATAATAATTAACATTTTATAAAGATAATAATTAAGTATTCTGTTAGAACTCAATAATTATTCTAATTATGTTTTAAATTTTTTATATTTAAAATGAGATGTTTATCCTGTATTTGATTATGTTTATCTGTAGTTAGTTACACGAATTCAGGTATGGAGCTTTATTAAGTTGTACTTACGCACAATCTACTTGCAATCTTGAGTTTTAAGTCATATACATTAATAAACAGTATTTTATGCATAAAAAATGGTTTTTAAGAGTTTTTGTCAAATTCTTTATAATATAGTATGGATTATGTGTTTTTAAGAAAGCAAATGATTTTATTTTTGAATAATAATATAAATTTGAAGATATCATAAAAATTTGAAAAAAAAATATCAATGTTAATATCAAATCAACTATTTAAAAGTTCTCATTTTTTATATAATTTCTTTAATTTATTATAATTTAATTTAAGTTTGATGATGAAATAACTTTCACCTGATTTCTATTTTGGGGAACCAACTTTCAAAATCGTCATTTTGGGGAACCAATTTTCACCTGATTCCTATTTTGGATAACCAACTTTCACCTGATTCTTATTTTGGGAACCAACTTTCACCTAATTCCTATTTTGGAAAACCAACTTTCAAAATCGTCATTTTGGGGAACCAACTTTCAAAATCGTCATTTTGGGGAACCAACTTGCAAAATAATTATAGAAAAATAACTGAAATTCGTTTTTTTCATAAATTAATGCAATAAAATTTATTTTTCATTTCAAATCTCGTTTTTTAACTTCAGATATCAAATTGAAATTTTTTTCAAAAAAAGTCCAAATTACCACGATAAAAATTGTTTTTTTACTAATGCAATAAAAAAAATCAATTTAATATAAAAAAATTAATTGATGCAATAAAAAATAATTATTAAATATCACATTCAAGATTTTTATATCTAACCAATCTGTGTCAATATTAAAGTTTAAATCAAATTTGGCAAATCCAACCAAAAGTTTGATAGAGACCCTTGAATTACCTATTATATGTTCAACAGATCAACCAGACCCTTAAATAAACAAAAAGTTTGATAGAGACACTTAAATGATGATTTTAAAAGTTGGTTCCTCAAAATAGGAATCAGGTGAAAGTTAGTTCCATTTTGGTGTAATTTTCCCATTTTTCTATAATGATTTTGAAAGTTGGTTCCCCAAAATGACGATTTTGAAAGTTGGTTCCCTAAAATAGGAATCAGGTGAAAGTTGGTTCCCCAAAATGACGATATTTTGAAAGTTGGTTCCCTAAAATAGGAATCAGGTGAAAGTTGGTTCCCCAAAATGACGATTTTGAAAGTTGGTTCCCTAAAATAGGAATCAGGTGAAAGTTGGTTCCCCAAAATGACGATTTTGAAAGTTGGTTCCCCAAAATAAAAATCAAGTGAAAGTTGGTTTCATTTTGATGCAATTTTCCCTATTTTCATAGATGGAACAAGGTATTTTTTTATTGGGAATGATAAGGTTTGGAAAAAGAATTGACTATTTGTATAAAGGCTCCCTTGGAAACGTAGGACAAAACAGGACAGGACGGGACAAAACTCACTGTCCCATGTTTGGCGCAACATGAGACAGAACAAGAACTCAATATCCCACGTTTGGCGTGACATGGGACAGGGACAAGAACTGGGACAATGTGAGACAGTATGAGACAAAAGAGGTATTTTCTTGTTCCACCAAAATAGGTGGAACAAGATGGGACAAGAATGAGACAAAAACTAAAATATTACTAATCTATCCTAGTTTGATATATAACCTTAATATAATATGTATTTTAATGGTCATCTCCGCTAGTTTCGGCCCCATTATCGGCGGTCACCGGCGGCCACCTCCACCTCCACCTCCTCTTCCACTACAACAACATCCTCCACCGCCTCCACAACCACCGTCCACCAAGTCCATTGCCACCTCTATCATAGTCGACCATCGACCACCACCGTCCATTGCCACCACCACTACTGTCGTTCGCCACCTTCAACTCCTCCTCTACTACAATAACCTCCTCCACGACCACCATCGGCCACCACCATTCATTGCCACCTCACCTCCACCATAACCACCACCACCACTATCTTCACTACATCAACCATAACTAGCTCCTCCACCGTTGTCAACCGCCACCACCTCCACAATCTACCATCTTCATGTCCTCTATAACCACCATCATCCACCAATCACCACTGCCTCTACCTTCATAACCGCTGTCGGCCATCGACCACCGCCGCCTGCTACCACTACTACCGTCGGCCACCACCACCTCCACCATAACCAAAACCACCTCCACCTCCACCACCACCACTACTACCATCAATTATATCAAATTTTTCATTCAAATTTGGTACAAATATGAAAATTATGTACAAATATTATAAATTAATTATTTAATTATTAACTTTATTTGTGTTAATTATAACTATTATATAATATTTAAAATCATCAAATAACTTTTGGGGGTACTATATGAAACATTTGCTCCCGTTACAAGACTTGAGGCCATCCAGATATTCCTAGCCAATACAGCTCACAAAGGCTTCAAGGTTTATCAGATGGATGTCAAGTCCACCTTCCTAAACGGCAAACTTCAAGAAGAAGTATACGTGCAACAGCCCCCTGGGTTTGAAGATCCAAAACATCCAGATTACGTCTACTTTCTGGACAAAGCTCTCTATGGGCTGAAGCAAACACCCAAGGACTGGTATGAAACGCTATCCACCTTTCTCATCAACAATGGATTCGAAAAAGGTACAATCGATACAACCCTCTATCTCAAAAAGCACAAAGGTGATATCTTACTTGTTCAAATATATGTGGACGACAACATATTTGGTTCTACAAATGTAAAACATTGCGAAAAATTCTCAGAGTTGATGAAAAGCAAATTTGAGATGAGCATGATGGGAGAACTAAGTTTCTTGGTCTTCAAATAAAACAAGCTTCAGAAGGAATTTTCATCAATCAGTCCAAATATGTGACTGACCTTCTAAAGAAATATTCTCTCTCAAATTCATCATCGATGARAACACCTATGGCTACAGGAGCTAAGTTATTTGCTGATCCATCAGGCAAACCTGTGGATGTAACAACCTACAGAGGCATGATTAGATCACTCCCGTATCTAACTGCTAGTAGACAAGACATTATGTTTGCTACATGTCTTTGTGCAAGACGCCTTCCTCATCTACAATGAGATTCACTCCACGGTAGTCAAAAAGTACAAGCTCCAGGCCACCGGCAAGCCCTTAACTTCTGTTTTGTTTCCTTGTTTCCTATCTCTCTTCATCGGGGATGCGATGAGGAAACATAACTTACCGATCGAGGAACCCTTCACTCCCCTCTTCAAGATACATGGCCATCGACCCACACTCTCAAAGGAAAGATACACCATCAACAGACCAATCTCCAGAGCCATGCTCAGTGTCATCCCAGAGACATCTGAGATCCGAAGAACTTACGAACGCTCTCTACTATCCCATGAACCAAGGGCAGCTACCCCAGAGCGAATAGAGCCGTCCCCTCAGTCAAGCGAGGGAGCACAAGAACCATCTTCATCGGATGATGAAGATGATGATGATGATGACACTCCTCGTGCATCTCTCGGCCCTTCACAAACAAATCCCCTTCCCTCTCCCCAAAGGGCAACCACCACCTCTACCCCTGGCGATCAAGGCCAAAGGGGTATTGAACAAGGACGGCCCAGTCC